GGGTGGGGGCGCAGCCCCCCGCAGCTTGTGTCAGGGAGAAGCCGGTGGGGGAATCCGGCGGGCGGGCGCTGTGTTGGGCGCTGGCGGAGGGATTGCGTTGAATTCAGAGCGGGGCCGCCACTCACTCACAAATACTCATATTTGCATTGATTTTCCGCACAAGGTCAAAAAGCTCAAGAGGGAACTCTCGCAGATGAAGCAGGAGCTGCTGTATAAGGAGCAAGGCTTTGAGACGCTGCAGCAGTAAGTACCAGCCCCCCCGACGGAGCCAGAGAAAAGCCCCCAGAGAGTGGGGAGACTCTGCACTCTGGGAGGGGCGGGAGTTTCTGTTCGTCACTGGGGAGCCAGAGAACCCCAACGAGCAGCTCGGCTGTGTCTCCTGGCCCCTCCAGCCTGCGCGGTAAGACCGGGGAAACGGCAGAGGGGCGCCCACAAAAGTGCCCCCGCCGCCGCACGGGGCCTGGGCGGGCCCCCGGCCTCCGGCCCCCTCCCGCGGCCCCATGCGCTCCCCGAGTCCCACCGCAGAGCCCGGGCCGGGCAGCGTCCTCGGGTCCAGCCTCCGCTGTGTCCCCGCTAACGCGGGCGGCAGGCCCCGTCGCGTCACAGGCCCCGGCGGGCTCTGGGGGCCCCTGCCCTGTCCCCGGCTCCGGAAGCCCTGACGCCCAGGGAGACTCCCCGCTTCTCACCACTCCCCCGCCGCAGCCTCTGCTCCGGGGAGTTCTCAGAGGGCGCCAGGCGCGTCCCTGTCCGGGGCAGGGCGGGGGCAGTGCCTGTGGGGTCCCCCGGGGGCTCCGTGCTGGCCGGCGTCCTGCACGAAGCCCGCAGAGCCTGTGTGTCTGACGACGCGCACAGGTGGGTTGCCCTGGTGCGGGGCGACGACTTGTGTCGGGGACACCGGGGCCCACACCAGGCCGCGGTCGGTGACTGGTGCCGGCCGCTGGTTTGGTGGCCGTGACCTGCTGTCCACCAGTCGCCCAGCCCCGGGGTCCTGAGGCCCGGCCGCCTAGAGTAATCGGCGGGGCTCTTAGGAACTTGCCTTTCTGGCCCCCGGTGTGTCGTGTGAGAGCCCGGGCGCTTCTCGGGGCTGACTGGGTTCTCCCCGGTGGCAGAGCTGCCCCCAGACCCGCGCGGGCCCAGGCGACACTGGGAGTTCGGCCGCCGAGGGGGCAGGGGCCTTGAGGAGGGCCAGTCCTCGTTTGAGGCGCGGGCGTTACGGCTCCCGCGGCCACCTGGGACGGCCAGGGCCGGCCGCGCTGGCTGTGTCTGTTGTCTGGGCGGAACAATGCTGTATTGTTTTAAAGCAGTTTGCTTGCAAGCCATTTTTATAGGAATCTAAGGCATGTTTAAGAATCTGTCAATAACATTCCACAGGAAAACAATAGCCATTTGTTGCAGAAAGTCGGGCCCCCTCCCGCAGCGGGCCTCCTCCCGCAGCGGGTCTCGTCACTGGGGGCCGAGCAGACCGACCGGAGGGGACGGGACCTCGCCCCGGGCGGGGCTGGCGCTGCTGGAGCTGCTTCGGCGTTAGCCGCCGAGGCGTAATTGAGCCCGAGACCACACTTTCCAGGGAACCCCAGCCCTGATCCGGAGAGGGGCTTTACGGCAAGTTGTAGCAGAGAATGTTTTCCAGGGCAAGATTTAAATAGAATCCCACCCCGGCCTTGCAGCCGTCCCCTGACTCACGGCACAATGGACTATTTCTGTCAAACCCAGAATTATAATGTAATTTAACCCGGGCTTTGGCGTGCGTGGCCCAGCACTGGATGCTCGTGAATGAGTGTCCTTTTCTCCTCCACGTTATTCTTTCAGTCTGGCCCCAGCCTGACTTTGGCCCAAGCAGTGGGGCGCGGCCGCCCCCCGCCCCCCTCAGAGCCGGCGGTGGGGTGGGGGCGCGCACAGACAGACTCCTCCAGGGGCCCGTGCCAGCTCGGCTCCACGCGTTCGTGTTTTCCAGGAAAGAGCCTGCAAAGGCAGCCTCCTTCCTGCAGAAGAGTCAGAGATCGGGGGCGAAGTAGTGACCGCAGGCGCCACCCAAAACACTTGAAGATGCGCAAGGAGACTGCAGAGCAGCGAGGGTCGTGCCTGGCTTTCAGAGCCGGCCAGTGAGGCCCTCTTCCACTTTAGGCCGTTAGGGTCGGGAGGAGAGTGGAGGCAGGAGAGGAAAAGGAGAAACGCGGAGGTGGAGAAACCTGCGTGGGGGGAAGTGGGGGGTGGACGCTGCTCCCGCGTGGACGGGGGCCGGCGCGGCGCCGTCCAGGGCTCTCCGTCGCTCTGTTAATGTTTTTGCAGAAATAAACCTGTGGAGCGTTTTGACCTTCGCGTGGGTTTTGACCTTCTGCCCCACCGGTCTGTGGGCCGTGCCGCTGTGACCCAGGCGGCCGCGTCTTCGCCTGTGAGAAGCCGCGTTTTGGTGTTTGGGGGCCGAGCACCAGCAGAGGCGTTGCGGGGTCACTGTTCCGTCCTTGGGGAGTTTCCTTGCCGGTTTCTGTAGAGGCTGCGCCCGGCACTGCCGGCAGCGGTGAGCGGGGGCCGCTGTCCCCAGTCCTCCCGACCTCACCTCGCTGCTGCCGGCGTCCTCTCCCTGCAGCCCTCTCCCGGTCCGAGGCCCACCTCAGTGGCTTCTTTAGAAAAGTGTGTAATTACGGCCCTCCCTGGTGGCGCGGCGGGTGAGGACGCAGCTCGGGCAGCTGGCCACAGCGCCTCGGTGCGCGTCCCATCCCGCCCGGCCCGCCCGCTCTCCCCTCAGCAGTGGGCTTCGTCAGCCGGCCTGTCCGGCGCCCCTCTCTGTCTCTGGGGAGGCCTCTCACCGCCCCTGCGCCTCGGGCCTGTACCCCAGCTCTGTGTGCATAAATGAATCTTAAAAAAAATCTGCAGGAAAATCGGTAAGGGGGCCCGTTGCCCATCTTGTGGCCGGGTTGTCTGTTTCTGGAGTTGCTGGATTGCTTGGCACTTGCGCAGCTCGGCCATCAGCCCTGTCAGCGGTGAGCTGCAGTCACTTTCTCCCCTGGCCCTCGCTGCCTTTCTGTCTCGGGGCGGTTTCTCCAAGACACAGAAGCCTTTCGGCAGGCCTGATCCTCAAGGTTGGCCTTTGCCTCCGGCCACTGGCGGGGCGTCCAGGCAGTCCTCTGGGGGGGGTGTCCCGGAGTGTGTCCCCTTTCAAGTAGTTTGTGGTTTGGGTTCTTAGGTCTAGATCTTGGATCCACTTTGAGTGTCTGTGTGTGGAGTTAGGAGTAGCCGCTTGGGGCCTTCCGTGGGTCCGTTCAGATCTTAGAATGACTCAGTTTCCTTGGAAAGTAAGTAGTGTGTGGGGTCTTGTCAGGTACTGCACTGGATCCAGTCGGGCCACGGAGATGATGTTTATTCTTCGGTTCACCCGATGTCCACCCCCCACCCCCCCATTCCCCCAACCCTCCGATTCTATCAGTTTCTTCGTGTGCCTCAAAAGTTCTAAACTGTTGCTAGTGGTTACCGTGGGGGTCGTGTGTGACTCGCTATGTCTAGAACGGTCCTTAGGAGCTGGCATCCGCCCGCCAGCGTTTCACGCCACTTCTGCGTGTCCACCCCCCCCCATTTAGCGCTTTGCTGTTTCTGCTTTCTCGCCTGGTGTCTGGTTTTGTCCTGTTGTTGTCATTTTACTTGGGTTTTGTTTTGGTGTTTTCTTGCAGAATCCTTTCTCGCAGGCCCGCTGGTGACGAAGTCCACTGTACTCGGGAAGAGCGGCCGCCTTCCTGTGTGATGGTGGCTTTGCAGGGCAGGGCGAGCTTGGCTGAAGTTCTTGTGGCCTAGGACAGGAGCTTGTCACCTTCTTGCCTGGAGACAGGGAATGAGAAAGCCTACTGGGTGCCCTGGTAAAGGCTCTTTCTCCTAAGCGTCCTGCAAATTTTTATCTTTAGTTTTTGATGACTTGACAGTGACGTGTCTTGGCGGAGGCCATTTTATGTTGAGAAATGCGGTGCTCCCTGTGTATCTCAGACATCACGCCTGGCTTACTCTTTCTCTGAATGGGGTCTCTGCTCCCCTCTCTTCACCTTCCCACACTCCTGGCGTCTTTATGTTTCTTCTTCTAACTCGAGCCTGCTCTTCCTCGTGCTTCCTCGTTTTCCCTATGTCTTGTTTTTCCTTTTCTAACTGGGTGGTTTGTACGTTTGAGTTTTTCATTTCTGGAATTATTTCTTCTACAGTTTAGTGCTGTTGAAAGCACTTTCCACATTTGTCCTCATTTCCTCCAGTGTCCCCTTCTGTGTTCTTTTGCTCCTTCAAGGTTTTGGCAAGGAACTCTGTTCTTTTTTCTTTTTAAAGATTTATTTATTTATGCATCCAGAACTGGGGTGCAGGCCAGAGGTGCGGGGCCGGTGAGAGGCTTCACCAGAGACAGAGCGGGGAGCAGAACAGGCCGATGGAAGAAGTGCACCGCTGAGGGGAGCAGCGGGCGGCCGGGGGCGGTCTGCCGCGCCATGTGGTCACCTCGGGGCGGGCATCGGACTTGCGCTGCAGCGACTTCAGCTTCTCAGTGCCACGCTCTGACCCGCTGTGCCCGGGGCCCCGGGACCCTGGCCTGTCTGACACCTCGCACTTGCCTGTCTGCCTTGGCTGACCTTTCAGGGGCTCATTTAACATTTCCACTGTTGCTCTTCTAGCTTCTTCGCCCGTCGGTCCTCCACGTGTGTGTCTCTGTGCGTGTCCCAGGTCGTCTTTCTCGTGGCTTTTCCATCTTGTGTTCAGCTGCCCCTCGCTCCCGAAGCCTGTGTGTCGCTGTATTTGCTTTGTGCGGTTGCAGGCTCCGGGCTCAGTTTTGTTTGTTTCTCTCGTTAGTTTACCTTGGCATGATGTGGGCACAGGAAGAGTGTCTGAGGCTTAAACGCTTGATCTCAGTTCTGTTGGGGAGTGAGGTCACCGCCGCCTCCCCACTCCCGCCCCCTCCCTGCTGCTCCCTTCCCCGCCATGGAAGTGGAATGGGGCTGCAGCACCCGGCCAGGGGCCAGCTCAGGGCCACAGAGCTCACGCTCGCGCGGGACTCAGCTGGGCCTGGCAGGCAGGAGACAGGTGTGCGTGCAACCGAACCAAAAGGGGGGGCCGCCGCCCAACAAGGAAGGGCCCCAAAAGAACCCCCAACCCCGGAAGGCCCCCCCAAGGGACCAGGGCAGCCCCGCCTGCTGCTGCCCAGGGCACTGGCGGGTTGTATCTCCCAGAGCTGCTCTCTGCTGGTGGGACCGGGAGGGAGCCCCGCCCGGCCCTGCCGGGGCTGTGATCACTTACGCAGCATGGGGGGTGAGGGGGTGGGGGGGCGTGAGTGTGGGGGGTGTTTTCCTTGCCCGCTGGCCCTGGTGCTCCCGACCTCCCAGTTTGGGGTGACGGCACGCCTTTTCTGAACAGCCCCCCAAGGAAATCCGCAGCGCCCGCCCCTGGCCCGGCTGGCCGGCCCGCCCAGCCTGCCGCCTGCTGTCTGGCCACGCTGTCCTCTCGTCCTCCCGACTTGCCCCGCAGCGGCCCACGCTTCAGAGCCAGGCCCTCCGTGGCAGAGCCCCCGGATTTTCAGGGAGCCTCCGAGTCTCCCTTTGAGCAGATACTGTTTTTATAGTTGTTTTCAGGGGAAAAGGTGACCCCAGCCTCTCTGTTCTGCCACGATGTGGTCATTTAGTTTGAAGTGAGCAGCCATAAACTAGTTCTGCTGTTAACTCTGTTTTTTATGGTAGTTTCTCTCTTTTTTACTGTGTTTAATTCACTTTTAAGGAGGTGGCATTGGTCTACCAGCTGTGTATGAGTCAGAGGAACCGGATCGCGCCCTTTGCTGGGTGTGCCACCACCCAGGCCGCCGACAGGGGCCGTGGCCCACCTCGGCCCCTGCGCCCCGCCCGCCCTTGCTGGCAGCCTCCCCCCCAAAGTCGGGCGTCCAGGGTTTGTGACTGGCACCGTCTTACCTGCCGCGGTCCACGTCTGGGAAAGCCGCTGGTGTTTGCCTTTCTCCTTACTGCATTCTGCCTCACCCCGTGACAGCCCGGCCGTGGGGCGACAAGGCTTCCGTTTCAGTAGTCTGCTTCTGTTCGTAGGTGTGGGCGTTTATATCTGAGAACGGCTCATCATACGCTTTCCGTTTGAAATGCTCTGTTTATTTCTGCATCAAAGAGCTGTTTTCAATGAAATTCTGAAGGCTTTACTCACATAGGAAGAAACTGCTTGGGCTCTGGAAGTTCATGTTGACGCAGCTTGAGGTACTTACACCGCGAGCCGGTCCGGGAAATCTCCGAATTTTTTTTTTTTTTTTAATAAAATAAACGCGTTGTCTCAACTAAGCTGTTAGATAGATTCACTGTCACTTCGGCCTGCCAAAAACGTCGTGCATGAGTCCCTTCCCGAACACGTGGAATTCACCCTCAGCCAAAACACTTCCGACGTTCTTGTCAGCCTGAATGTCACGGGGATAGTCGCGTCAGGTCGGGTCCGTGCGGTTCAGGGACTGAGTTTGCGTGGACTCGGACTCCGCGTCTTCAACTGGCGAAGAACCCGCAGCCCCGCGGGGCCCTCTGTGCAGAGTCGGGGTGTTCCGCGCGGGGACGGGGCCGCTTGCGCCTCTCTCCGAACGACATTATCGTGAAATCTGTCTCCTTGAGTTCTTGGGGCTCTTCCTGCCCATTCCGCAGCATGAAACACTCAGGACAGCCGTACTGGAGGGGATACGCTCCCCGTAAACCGTGTTAGGGAAAGTGGGTTAAGGCGGCCCCGTCTGGTCGCTTCGGATTCCACCCTTCGCGCTCAGGCGCACAGAAATTACTCCACGTTTTAAACCGTGAGCCCGGGCCAGCGTCCTGCTGTGCAGCAGGTGCCGCCGCTCTGGGAAAGACCCGGAATGCGACCTGGCCTGGCGGCTGCCGGCCGACACCCCGCCGGGCACAGCCCCCACGCCCACGCCCACGCGCAAGTCCTGGCAGGGCAGGTGACCGGGAGACCGGGGAGTGGCAGCGGACAAGCCCTGGGCCTTTTCTAGGAGAGCACCTGGTGGTCTGATGCCCCCAACACTGGGTGGCACCGGCCCCCGCCGGGAGGCGCCCCGCGAGCTGCTGGGCAGGCGGCACACCAGGGGCACCCTCCGCCCTAGCTGACGGGGAGCTCGGCTGTCCCCGCACCTGAGTTGTAGCTCGACTCCAGCCCCCTTAAAACCAGGATCAGTACTTTAACCAGGGTGAAGGGGGAGGCGGTCAGGGAGCCCCGGAGCCGCCGACTGCGGCTGCCCCTGGTGGACCAAGAAGCCGCGCGCTGGCCCCAGGCTGGGGCGCTGCTGCCGCTGCGTGTGGCGGGGCTGCAGGGGGCCCCAGGGCGGCCAGTCTCCAGCCTTTCTGTCCCATCAGAGAAGCCTGACCTGCGCCTGTCGGGGTGGAGAGCAAGGGCAGCTGGGTCCGGCCGACGTGGTTCCCTCGGACAGGCGGGCCAAAGCCCCGAGACGGGGGCCTGGGGCGCCGGCCCCAGTCCCCTGGGCAGCGAGGAGGAGGCGGCGCTGGGCGACGTGGGGGCTTCGGGGGCACGAGAGCCCAGTGGGGGTGCACTAGCGCTGAGACAACCCAGAGACCAGCTCCCGCTGCTTTGTACGCTGTGGTTCTCTGATTTTGTCTTCCCTTTTAACAGGATTGATAAAAAAATGTCCGGAGGCCAGAGCGGCTACGAACTCGGTGAAGCCAAAGCCATTCTAACCGAACTGAAGTCCATCAGAAAGGCCATTAGCTCAGGAGAAAAAGAGAAACAAGACCTGATGCAGGTTTGTGGAGGCGCGTCGCAGTCAGCCCCGGCCGCTGCAGGCGGTCTCCCTCGGGAACCGGGGCCCTTCATCACAGACCCCCCCACCGCACCCCCAGAACTCGACCTGTGGGAGCTTGTGGTTGGCTCAGACGCCGCCTCCTGCCTTGGAGAAAACCGGATTGTCCCCAGGTTCTGCTGCACTTACTTGGAGCCAGACTTTGCCAGGCTTTACGTGGCCCTTGAGACGGGCGGATTCCAGAGCCCGGGGAGCTCACCGAAGACGGCAGGGGGGCCCCGGCGAGCGGGGTGGAGCAGGGGGTCCTAGGCCCAGGACACACGGGGTTGTCAGTTACCATCAGTTAGGGACGTGCGAGCTCAGAAATCTCCCCAGCCCGGGAGATGCAGGGACTCCTGTGGAGCACGCAGGGTGTCTGCAGCTCCCTTGGGAAGGCCTCTCAGGCCGCAGACACCCTGCTCACACTGTGCCAGCCTCAGCTTTTGGGTCTCACCTTCAAGGCGCCCCAGCTCATTTGACTATCCCTCCTGAGCAGGCAGTCAGGTGTTTTTAAGCATGTCTTTGCCTCCTCAGCCCTGCCCTCCGGCCCAGTCACACCACAAGCACTGAGAACCCTCCCTTTCAGAGAGTTGGGGTTCTCTGCTTTCTGAGGAGGGAATCCGGCTGTGTTTGGGGTCACAGCAGAGCCCTGCTGGTGTTCGCCTTCTCGGCAGAACCTCTGTGTCTGAATGCCATATTCTGCTGCGCCATGTCAGCTTCAAATGCTATTGTAAATATTGTGACTAGGTAAATATTCTTGAACCCAGATAATTTTACAATTGGGGAATTTTGAAACGACGCGCAAGAGATCAAATAGAACAGGCAGCGCTGTAACAGCACGTGCCGGTGAGGAAAGGCCCTGTCGAGAGAGCTCCTTTCCTGCTCACGGCCACCCTGAAGACACGTACAGTCACTTTCCTCACAGACGGCAAAACTGCAGTGCAGAAAAGATACGTGACTTATGTAAACTTACACACTGATTCATGGCAGGACTGGGGCTCAGACCCAGACAAGTTTTTCTCCAGAATACGTGGTTTTACTGTACACAAAACACATGCAAAACTTTCCTTGGGTAGAATTTTTTCTACTACAGTGATCTGTTCATTGGCTCATTAAACTGTAATAGATTCTTTGAAAAAAGTTAATGGGACTGGGAACAAATACACATTGGAACCTTATAACTTAACAATTTTAGCTTGCTTTTGAGTCTTCCGGTAAACTTTGGATTTACACACAAGCCAGATTCAATTAAAGGACTCGGGCCCTTACCAGTTACTGCAGTCTACAAAACAGTGACTGAAAGAGACTTTCAGAGGAGGTCAGGGACCTTCTTGACCATGATCCGCAGTAAGGAATAAATATTTTACCTCAGACCTGCCAGCGCACAGTCAGATCAGCTAACAGTTCTGCAGTTTCTGGGTCCCCATTTCCTAGTCACTGATCCCAGTTTGGGCTGAGTCAGATGTGTGTGAAATGACGCAACCCCCCCTTCTCTTGGAAGGACGTTTCTGTGCGGCAGCTTAAGTGAGCTAGCCTCCTTCCTAGGCATCGCACGTTTCCATAACTTCCCCCTCTGTAAAAGTGGGTAGTTCGGGAAACTTATTTTTCATGAAAATTTAAAAATAAGAAATACATGTATTAACTGTAAAGAGACCATTATCCACTAGGGAATCATTCCGGGGCCACCTTGGAAAAGGAAAGCTTACCTGCCCAGTATTTCATGCATCCTTCCACCTGTGTATATATGCAAAATTGCATTCTATTCTTTCTTTTCCCCCCCAACAATTTAAAGTGACGCATACCTACTAAAATAAAGTAAAAACTGTTTTTTTCCACTGAGATTCACTTTTGCCATTAATTCTGCCTGGTGGGAAGCTTTGCACTGCTAGATGTTGTGCTTTATGAAGGACTTTGTGTTTCCTGAACAGAGTCTTGCCAAGCTGCAGGAGCGGTTTCATTTGGATCAGAGCATTGGACCAGCTGAACCGGACTTGAGATCCAGCCCAGCGAGCTCTCACTTATCCCTCTCCAGACAGACCCTTGATGCCGGGTCACAGACAAGCATCTCTGGAGACGTGAGTGACACACCTGGGAGGCTGCCCGGGCACTGCCCGCCATTGGGCCTTAACTGTCAGGTGGACATGAGAGAACAGGAGAGTGGGTCTGAATTCTACTGTGCACTTTCAGGATTTTATACCCAGAAGATCAGTTTCAAAACTCATAGCCATCTTCTCTGGTCGCCAAGCACATCAGGGTTTGTTCGGGTGTTCTGATACCGAATGTACTCAGAGACACCCTGCATAGAAAGACTAGAGACACAGGGAAGTGTAAGCTTTTCCTAGGAAGTTTAGAGTCTTTGGAATTTAGTTCCTTTCAAATAAATATTAAACACTAAATAAACATGTTTTTCTCTTAACTGGAAACACAGAGATGCATACCTTTAAAAACTAACCAAAAGCTTGATTTTGTGTATCTGATTCTGACTTGCCTGTGTGCCTGGTGCGCCAAGATAATCTTACGTGACTTGGACCTGATGAGCGCCTCTGCCTTCTTCCTTTTGGGATGCCATTTGCAGATACTTGCTTTTTAATACATTCCAGATTGGCTCTTCTGCTCCTTTGAATTCTGTGCTATGAAAGTAAAGCAGGCAGACATCAACAGTAGGGCTCACCTGTTTGAAAAATTAATTTTTAAGTGATTTAGTTCATAGTGTATGCAGTTGAAAGCTAACTAAATGGTGGAAATTCTGGCTCATAGAGACTAGGAAATTAGTTCCAGTTCATAAATTTTATTGACCTGTACAGCCTTCATAAACCTGTAGATACCAGAAACATTTACCTGATCTATTTTTTAACCTCAAATTTAATGTGTAGGGGAAAGGATGTTATAGTCTTTGAAAAACAGACAAGCCGGAATTTGAAAGAAACGTTTGCCCCTACTGAGACTTTAGCTGTTGCCTTTCAAGCCCTCCTCGGGAGTTCAGTGCCCTCTTTGTGAGTGTCCCATTACCTGTGCTTCCTGAAACACGCGCACTGCGCTTTATTCATTAGTGGAGTAATTGACTTCTCCCCTTTTGTTTTTCACTAGATCGCCATGAGAAGTAGATCAAACTTAGCAGAAAAGGTCAGACTGAGCCTCCAATATGAAGAAGCCAAGAGAAGGTACCCGCAGGGGCCGCCCAGCCAGGGCTGCTGTTCCAGAATCAGTCTTTGCTCCTACACTGACCCCTGCTGGGCGCTCCCCACCCGACCTGGCCAAGGTCGCCCTTGGGTTTGGTGGAATGTAGGGTCCCCCGCATGCCCCCTGCTCGCTCCCTTTCCCCCTCCTCCTAACCCTACAGTACAAGGACAGTCATGAGAAGTGTGGGAACAAACTCGCCCCCATCTCCTGCTCTGCACTGGGACAATGCTTATAATTAAAAGTGAGAAGATTGGTTTCTCAGATAGAAACTTGATCCTGAGCTCAGGCACAGCCGATAGCTGTGGAGTTCTCGGGTAAGCGGATTTGAGGGTGTCCTCTGCTCTGAGGGGGGCCAGGCGCTGATGCCCCGGGGTGCTGGGTGTCTCTGCCAGCCGACTTGCCTTCGGGAAGGAGGAAAGGAGATTCTGTTTCTTCGCTTTATCTTAGAAATGCTTATCGACCCTGTGCCACCTCTCTTCAGATACAGCCGTTGGGGCGGCTGGCGAGGAAGAGCTAGCTGTAAAGCTGATTACTGCAATAATGAGACAGGTCTCCCCCAGAGGTTCAGGGACTTAGTCACTCTTTCCCGTTTACCGTATCCACCCCCTCTGGCCGTGACGTGTGAGTCCTTGCTTCACGTATATAAGCTTGTCTCCATGATTCTTTTAGCATACCTGCGGGTTTTGTTTTGTACAAAATACTTGTCAAAATCAGGAAATTTGAACTAATCCTGTTACCTGATCTACAGCCCACCTGAGGTCTTATCTATTGTTCCAATAACGTCCTTTACAGCAACATTTCAAAAACCCCAAGCTCACGCATATCTCTTAGCTTCCTTATTTGGAGTAGTTCTGAGGCTCTTCATTTCATGACATCAGCATTTTTGAAGCCAGTCATTTGAGTTCTTGGTGGTGGTGGTGTTTTTTTAAATATGCAGTCATTTTTCTTTTTACCTTTTGACCACCTTCAGCTATTGCTCCCATCCCCACCTCTGGCAAGTTACTGTGTTCTCTGACTCCTCCAGCTGGGTGGATTTTTGTTCCGCTCCCACGTATAAGGGAGATCATTAGATATTTGTCGTCCTCTATCTGATTCATTAGCAGACTGCCCTCGAGGTCCGTGTTACTGCAAATGGCAAGGTGTCGTTCCTTTTTCCTGGCTGAATAATATCTCATTGTAGATGCAGTCCTGTGTTGCTTAATGTTGGGGTTCATTTTGAGATACCTGTCACTGGGCAAACGTCATGGCAGGTAATCACAGACTGACACATAGGGGCTCTTGCACCCCTCGGCTGTCTGGTGAAGCCTGTGGGGACCCCCATCACCTGTGTGGCCAGAACTGCATGCGCTACACTTCCTCTTTCTACCCCTCCAGCTGGCGTGGGAGAATTGCTGAATAATACGGTAGATGTAGTTTTAACATCTTGAGGACCCTCCGTTCAGTTTTTCCTTAGCGGCCAAACCAGTTTCTGTTCCCAGGGAGGGCGTGAGGGGTGGGTCTTCCTGGCAGGAGCCGGGGTGGGAGGTGACGTCTCACTGCGCTTCGGGTTCGCGTGTCCTTGCTGACCGGTGATGTTGGCATTGTCCCTGTGCCTGCTGGCCACCGGTGTCCCCTTGGAGAAATGTCTCTCCCGATCCTTTGTCCACGTCTTAAGTTATTTCATTTTGTTCTTGCTTCCATTGAGTTGGGTGAGTTCTTTCTAGATTACAGATACTAAACCCTCATCAGATAGGTGATTTGCAAATATTTTCCGGTATCCTGTAGCCAGAAAATTCTGTATTTATTTTGTGGGTGGAAATTTCCTTGCTTGGGTAGAAACTGCAGTTGTAGGTCATCTCCCTCGTTGTTTTCATTGCTTTTGGCGTTAGAGTCAGTCGCTGTCAGAATCTCCGTCGGAGGGCTCTGCCAGCTTGTCCTCCAGACGTCTTGTGGTTTTAAGTCTTTAACGCATCCGGGGTTAATGTTCTTGCGTGCTCTGTGGCAGAGGCCCGCCCGGCTCCGTTCCCTCTTCCTTGAGGAGACCTGAGCGCCCCCATCCTTGTGCTGGGTCAGACCCAGCTTGTTGTCATCGTGGGGAGCACCGTGCTTATTTTGAGAGTCAGACCGATACATTTGATTTCTGTGTTTTCCTTTCGAGTGCCTTGAAATTGCCATGGACCTTTTATTCAGGAAGTCCCGGGGGGCCTTGTTATCGCCCATCGGGGGACAGAGGCGTCTCTCACGTCCCTCCTCAAGCCTCTTGGGCGCGGGGCCTCCGAAGAGCAGCGGGCAGCTGCCTGAGGCTGTCCGCTCCTGAGGGTGACGGCGGTGACTGGAAAAGCAGTCCGCCTCCGTTCTCAGAGGTCACCTGGTTTTGGCAAAGTAACCTCATGACCTGCCCAGAGACGATTTTTGTCACCGTCACCTCAGTTGCCATTGTTACTTGGTTCTTTGATTTACTGAAAGAACCTAAACTTCTGCCCGCGAGTCACTGGCCTCTGAGCTCAAGCCCGTCACTGGGTTCCCTGGACGTTTTCCGTGGCCCGTGTCAACACCTGTCTCTAAGTGGTGAATCCCGTGAGGCGGGTTAGGAAGAGCCGGGCACGCCTGGTCCTCGGCCCCTCGGCTACTGTCCTGTCCCCACCAAGGACTGTGGGCTGCCCTCGGCCCTCGGCTGGCCTGTGGCTCCTCGGTGGACGCTGCCGGGCCCCCCGGGGGTGGCGCACCCCCACCCCGGCGTCCTCCGTGAACCTCACCCAGGACGCGCTCTCCTGGAGAGCCAGGCGCTGCCCGGTCTCGGCGGGCCTGGGCCCCCGGGCCTGGCTCTGCTTCGGCCGCTCGCAGTCCCTTCCGCTGGGGCTTCACAGCAGCGGGGGCCTCCCAGGACGTCCGGCCGGCCGCTCGTTCCCGGACGCCCCTTCCCAGGAAGCCTGCGCTCCGCCCCACGCCCCGCCCGTTAGCTCCATCCGACCCCCAACGCCGGCTCTTTCCTCGTCCTCTTACACCCTGGGGCTTCCCGTGAAGTGACTGCGATGCTGGCGGAAGGCCGCTCTCCGGGGCCGGCGCGTGTCCGAGAGGCCCCGTCCTCAGTTCCGAGTCAGGGAAGGGGCGGGCTGTGTTTCTCTGAAACCCGTTTTCTCCTCCAGCCTTTGTTTTATGTGCCTAATGAAGCCAATAATATCTTGCTTATTTAGCACGTTGATGATTAATTTTCCAGCACATTGAGGCGTTTGCTCATGGTCTTGTGGTTAAAGCGGAGGAGCAGCTGATGTTACACCTGTCAGAGCGCAGGCGGTGGTAGTAAAGAAGCCGCCAGTCCTCGGCGGCCGTGCCAGCGTCAGGTGGCCGTTCAGCCGAGATTGCCGCGTGTGACCAGCCCCAGAGGCTGGCGGCCCAGGGCGTGGAACTCCCTCCACCTTCGTTGCCGATGGCGCGCCTGTTGGCCTGTTCTCTTCCCTTCTCCACAGAGGAAAAAGGCGCCTCCCTGGCCTGGAAGCTCTCGGCCGCGGGCGTCCTCAGGCCCACAGAGCGGGCAGGGTCGCCTGGCCCCGCAGTCGGGGTATCCTGGCGGAGCTGGGGTGAGGGTCTGAAATCGGGGCCAGGTGAACTCCGGTGACCTCGCCCCCCGCGCCCCCCATCCAGCTCCTCTCAATCCCGCATAGGCACCTGTGCTCTGGCCTTGGCGCCCTCAGCCGCCGTGCTGGGGGGTCCCCGGTGTCAGCTCAGCGGGTGTGTGGGCGCCTCCGAGGCCCTGACCTCGGGGAGAACGGCTGCCGCCTGTGAGGCCCGGTGCGGCAAGCCAGGCTGCCCCTCGGCCACGGCGGCCCCTGTCGACCTCACTCGGCGGAGGCTGGGTTAGAACAGCCCCGGCTCTCTCCTCTCCCTTCCCCCCTGGCAGAGGTCCTGGCGCCCAGTTTTCCCGGGGGCTCCCAGTTTACTCGCGGACAGCATCTTCACCGAGGAGCAAAATCTGTACCAAAGCTAACAGCCATTTCAGGGCCACTTACCTCAGTGGCTTGTTTCGTTTTAGTGGGGGGCCCAGGTTCCCCTGCCTCGCCCCACGTAGGCAGGACTGGCCCTCAGGGCCGGGAGGGGCTGGCCTTGTGCAGGGCGGGGGTCCAGCTCCTTCTGAAGGAGAGGAGGAGCGCGGGGGCGTCTCCCCTGCCCCGCGCCTGTGTGCACAGCGCCCTCGTCTCTGTCCCAGCATGGCCAACCTGAAAATCGAACTGTCGAAACTGGACGGCGAGGCCTGGCCCGGGACGCTGGACGTCGAGAAGGAGAAGCTGATGCTGATTCACGAGAAGGAAGAGCTGCTGAAGGAACTCCAGTTTGTCACGCCGCAGAAACGCTCTCCCGACGAGCTGCAGCGCCTGGAGGCCGCGAGGCGGCGGCTGGAGGAGGAGCTGCTGCCCGTCAGGGGTGCGCCCAGCCCAGCGCTGGCCGAGAGGTGCGTCCCCCAGGGGCCGGCCAGCGGCCCCCGCATGCGCCGTCCTGGCCGTGGCACCTCCGTTCACGGGGCTGAGCTGGCATCGCCTCAGCCCCCGGGCCCGGGGCCGGGAGTGCGTGGCAGCGCTGAGTAACCAAGGGAGGGCGGCGGGCGCCCCGGGGCCGCGGGCACTCTGGTCTCCTGCCGGGAGCCGGGAGGCACCGGAGCCCCGCGTGCCAGCTGTCCTGACTCGCCAGGTCGCAGCGCCTCTGGCTGCTCGGTCGCTAGCCCTCTGGTGACAGCGGTTGCCGGACCCGCGGAGGTCGCAGCTCTGGGGAGGGGGCGCGGAGAGCACGTGCCTGTAGGAGCTGCGCCGCGGGCAGACTCGCCCCCGACTGGAGCCCTGGCTAGTGGGGGCCAGCGCCGGGCCCTCTGGGGCCCCTGCGAAGCGCCGGAGCCTCCGCTGACTCCAAGGAAAATCCCCCCCCCCCCAAACCCGGGGTTAAAACCCAAGGGCCTCCCTCCGGACTTTGGGGGCCCCCCGCCCCCGCCAAACGAACTTGGTTTAAATTTTTTTCCTTGCTGAGTTTTGGTTTCCATTTGCGAGATTAAAAATCAGGGGCCGAGTCCTCTGCCGAGCACCTCCGACCCGCGGGTCAAGGACGTGTCGGCCTGTGAGGTCGCCACCAGGTGCCGCGTGCCTCCGTGCTCCCGGTCCGTGAGCGCGTGCTGCTGGCCCGCCTAAGACCGAGGCCGACAAACCCAGCACGGACTCGGTCCCTGGAGGCAGGGGTCTCGGGGTCTCCATACAGGGGGCCCCCCCCACCCCTGGGGGCCGTGGCTGGGGTCGCTGGCCGCCGGGCTCCTGGAGCCCCGCTGGTGACCTCAGGCAGCCGCACCCCAGGCCTGGGTGACCGCTGACAAGACGACAAGAACTGGCCGCCCAAGCAGCCCGGCCACGAGGCTCCTGGACCCCACTCTGCTGCCCACCCTGCGCGGCGCCTCTAGCTGGGGCTCGAGCCCCGTGGGAGTCCCCCAGGGCCCAGGGCGCCGGGTCTCCGTGAACGTGGCTCCCCAGCCGCGCCGTTCCAGCAGACTTGGGTTCTTTTAGATCACCCACACGTGCGCCGCTGAATGTGGCGGAGGCTCTGGTGATGACCCGGGGCCGGCGGTGAGGTGCGCCTCAGGCAGGGACGGGAACTGCTTTCGCCGTTTGTGCTAGAATAGGGAAGCCCCAAGTTACTAGCCCGCAGCGGCGCTGTGGCTGACGTCTGTAGTCGCTAAACTACTCCGAAGACTCTCCTGGAGCCGCCCTTCCCCGCGTTGGGCACTTCGATGACCTTTGCTGGCTATTATTGCTACCGAAGGTTTTAGTGACGCGAATCAAAGGATGTAGAGGTGTCTTAGACGCTTCTAAGAAAATTCTGGACGACCCAACATGTCTTAAGTGCTTGGCAGGCCGGAGGTTTGACCTCCCCTCGGTCTCCTCGTGTGGCTCGGGGCTGGCTGCCTCCCTGTTGCTGTTTCCTCTCTCCCGAGTGCATCTGGGACCCTCTCCTCGTGCCTGGTGCTTGCGAAACAGGAATCTTTCCCTCCCTGCCAGTTTTCATGCCTTGTCATAATCCCTTGAAAACAAATTCACCTGTGATTTTTCTAGGTTGAAATTAGAAGAGCGAAGAAAAGAGTTACTACAGAAACTTGAAGAAACTACTAAATTAACTACTTATTTGCATTCACAACTTAAGAGGTAACCCCATTTGAGTCTGGAGGGGCAGTGATCGGGGTGCGGTCTAGTTCATCTTTGATCACTTTTCAGTTTCACGTCTTTAAGGTTAAATAAAAGAGTGAGACTCGTACATTTAAGACCGGGGTGACCGCATTTAGCGCTGCACAGATTTTCCACGAACCCCAAGGTCGTACCTGAAATGCGCTTGGGGTATGTTGTGGGAGGAAGGTACGGTTTAGGCGTCAGGGGCTGGGGGGTTGGCTTAAAGAGTGGGGGGTCACTGCTGCTCGGCACAGCGAAGAGGAGGGGAGCGCTTGGGGTCCCCTCCTGGCTAGCTTGCCTTTTTCTACAGCAGGACTTTTTTCTTGAAGCAGGATAATGTCACACAGTTTACACCCGAGCCCTGCTCTAAGTTGCTCCACTGTTTGCCACTGTCGGCAGGTAGATTTGCCCGCCAGTATTTGATTATTTTTTTTAACTTTTGCACAAGAGCCGTGATTTCTAGCAGTAGATGGCTTTTTTTTTTTTTTTTGAGATTTATTTATGCATAAATAACTGAGCTGAACTGGGGTACAGGCCAGAAGTGGTGCAGAGGCAGTGAGAGGCTTCACCAGAGACAGAGCGGGGAGCAGGACAGGCAGAGCGAGGAAGTGCACTGCTGAGGGGAGCAGCGGGCGGGTCAGGGGAGCTCTGCCTCGCCCTGGGGGTCAGCTCCTGGTGGGGGTGGAACTCACAGAGGAGCGGCTGTGGCCGGCCTGCAGCAGGGCTGCGCTTTAACCCCCCCGCGCCACCAGGGAGGGCCCAAATCCCTCTTTGAAGAACACCTGGCCAGCCGGCCTGCCGGACACCCTGGTGGGTAAACGCAGAATGGGGAGCGAGGGGCTCCTGGGCCTGGCCCCTCGGCCGGTCCCTGTCGGGGCTCCTGCCCCCAGGGGGCGGCGGGCGGTGCTCGGCGCCCCCACGTGGGCGCCGCCTCAGCCTGTGTTTCCCGCAGCCTCTCCGCCAGCACCCTGTCCGTGTCGTCCGGCAGCAGCCTGGGCTCGCTGGCCTCCAGCCGGGGCTCCCTCAACACCTCCAGCCGGGGCTCCCTCAACTCCCTCAGCTCCAGCGAGCTCTACTACGCCAGCCCGGCGGACCAGCTGGACGCAGACTACCAGTACAAGCTGGACTTCCTGCTGCAGGACAAGGGGGGCTACGCGCCCTCCGGCCCCATCACCACCATCCACGAGAACGAGGTGGCCAAGTCCCCCGGCCAGCCCGGCCAGAGTGGCTCCAGTGGGGTGGCCACGGCCGCCGGCCACACGCCGCCGCCCACCGAGGCCCCCAAGTCGGTGACCTCCCTGTCCTCCCGGTCCTCCCTGTCCTCGCTGTCCCCGCCCGGCTCGCCCTTGGTTCTGGAGGGCTCGTTCCCCATGTCTGCCCACGACGCCCCCCTCCACCAGCTCGCTGCCGACTTCGAGGACTGTGAGTTGAGCGGCCACTTTGCGGACATGGGCCTGGGCGACAGCCAGGCCCCGCTGGACTCGGAGGCGGGCAGCGCGGCCCGGCCGCTGCTGGAGGACTCCGGAGGTGCCAGGGAGCCGTTGTACGGAGGAGCTGCGGGTGAGTGGCGCCTCGAGTCCGCGCTCCCGCTGGCACGAAAGGGATGCTGGGGGTCGGGGTGCCGGCCTGCTCTCGGCGCCGCGGGTGGTCTCGGCACCCAGCCTGTGCCTGGACGCCGCCTCCCCGCGGGGAGTGTGGCCACCCAGCACCTGCTCTCTGGTCCGGAACCTCTGTGGCACGGCTGCCAGCGAGCGTGTGCAAGAACCGGCTTCATCCGTGCAGGTAGTGCTGGTTCTGAAATTGCGAGGTAAAGAAGGGGACCCGCTTGGAAAAGTTGGCCTCAGACAGGCTCAAGCCCAGGCAATTAGGATGCCGGCTAATTCGCGCCAGGGTTCAGTGTTGAGATCGTGGGGGAATCGCGTGTAAACACAGCTCTGCCCCCGCGGGCGCCATCTGCGCCAGCCGCAGCCGGGCGTGGGCGAGCGCTGCCACCTGCTGGCCGGCTTGCTGGTTGCGGCCCGCGGAGAGGACCCGGCCCAGGCACGGAATGGGGAAGATTCAATAGTTTTACAACTGTTTTCCTTTGCAAGGCAGAAACGTGTAATATATGAGGTCGTACAGAAAGGAGGGTGGTGCCCCCCGGGGGCAGCTGGCCACAGGGGTGGTGGGAGGGGCGTCGGTGCTGGAAATGAAGAGGGAGGTGGAGGCGGCGGGGCTGGTCCCGGGCCCTGCCCAGGTCGGCTGGCGGCTTTGTCCCCAGCAGCCGGGGGCGCGTTAGAAGTGACTTCACGTGTGGGGGGGAGGGGCGCAGGTGTTTATCCTCAGGAATTCTAAGTATTCATTGATTGGCCAGTTCCGATGTTTGACGAAATAAGTCTGACTCAGAGCTGAAGGCTGAAACCCCCCAGCCTGGAGAAGTGGGGGCGCAGAGGGAGGGAGGCGGGGAGGGGCAGGCGAGGGCGGGTCCGGGAGCCGCTGTACGGTCTGTGCGCTCCGGCCTGGCAGGCACAGAACTGCAAGAAATGTTTTATTGCACGAACCAACTACCTAAAAAAGGTGCAGAGATGGCCCCGGCGGGCAGACACCTGCGGGGGTTGCGGGGCGTCGCGCGGAGCCGCCCCCACACTTTGGTTGCCCCCCGACTGGCCGCCTGGTGCAGGGGGGCGCGTCGCCCGTGTGGCGGGACTGTCCGTCCAGGACGGGCCTCGTGGGGCCGGGGGCTGGACGTCCGCGGCATCGTCACGCCTGGCACTGGGCACCCAGCCAGGCCCCTGTCGCCTGGCAGTGGACCCCAGCCAGGGGTGAGGGCAGCGCGGACGCGGGCACACAGCGCCCGCGCGGGGAGGCGCCCACCGGGGCGCGGTGTCCTGTGGGCTCGGGGCGCGCGCTCGCCGTTCTCGAGCTTTTCGAAGCTGTTTGTTTGGCTCTTCGTGCGTTTGGAGTGCTCTCCGGGGACCACTTCCCAACACTCCCTCGCGTGGGGGGCCAGTCGGCGCGCGCAGTGCCCCTGGCCTCGCCCCTCCACGCCCGGGACGGCCGCGCCTGCGCGGGGCCTCCCCGAGCCCACGAAGAGGCCCCTGACCATGAAAATGAGCATCGTGTGAGAAACGGCTGTGAAGGTCACCCGGAGGGAAGATGTTTCCAAGTATATCCGAGACCCGTGCTGGTAAATAAAATTCAGGTCGTGAGTGAAAACCCCAAGACCGCTTCCGGTCACCGCGCCGGAGGGGCTGTGTGATCCGCGGCGCGGCCTGGCGGGGGCGCTGTCCGCTCCCCTGGTGCTGAAGTCTCCCTTCCGCTCACGTCGCTCCCCAGCACCGATTCTCGCTGGAGGACAGAAACCAAGGTGGCTAACTCCCAAGTCCTTCCACAACCGGTCTCTGTCGCTGTCAGTTCATTTTGGCGGCTGTGGCTTTTCCTGGGGGTCATCAATAAGTAAAGCCATCACCTTCATCCCCCCTTCCCTGGGGGCGAGTGAGGCGGGCACTTCATCCCCAAGAGGACGCACTCCCACTGCCAGAAATGAGAGGGGCCATGCAGCCAGCCCACCTGTAACCCGAAGCCTTAAAACCTGATCATCTTAACCAGATATAAAGCCATGCCTCAGACGGGGCCCGATAGGTCACCAATCCCAGTGGGTCTGCGCTGGCCCTGGCAGGAGGAAAGAGGACCTGGGAACGCGGCACCAAGCAAATGCCCCTGTTCACCGTGGGGTGCTGCAGGTGCACATGAGCGAGAGATAAGGGCTCGCTGGTAGTTGGTGCTGAAGGTTCAGTAGTACGAGGTTGTTTTCCGTGGTATTCACTGCTAAGAAATTCTGTACGTCCAAGACTTGTTTTCCCTTTAACCTCCATAGTGTCACAGCAGAGAAGGTGGGGAGACAGAGGGGCCATGAGCCTCCTGCCCTGGAGGGTCTGTTAGGAACAGAGCGAACTACCGAGGGGCAGGGTGCCCCGCACCCCCACCAGCATCCCAAGGGAGGCCAGGGAGGGGACGTGCGGAGGGCCCTCCCCTCAAAATATCTTCAGGACAAAGAACAGCCATGTTCTCCCGCAAGCAAAGACCAAGTAGATGGTGTCCGGGAAGTGACAGGTCACCGGCCTGAGTCACCCCACCCCTCGGGGCGCTGGGCAGTGGCATCCCTGCTTCTTGGGGGGAATTTAATTTAATTTTCTCGTCGCCAGACCCTGTATGAGTGTTTTGTACCCTGAACTTCTGCCAGTCAGAAGCCCTAATTGGCGCTCGCTTCCCTTCCTTAGACACAGAAAAATCATTACTGAAAAGAAGAGTGATCCACCTGCTGGGGGAGAAAACCGCCTGCGTGTCGGCAGCCGTGTCTGACGAGTCTGTGGCTGGGGACAGCGGTGTCTACGAGGCTTTCATCAAACAGTAAGGAGTTGGGGTGCTCTGCTGCCGTACCTCCTCCTGGCCAGGCGGGTTCCGTGCTGAGAGGCCACTGCTGTCGTCCACCCTCCTCCTTTTCCTGTGGCGATAAAGTCTGTGGGTGTGAAAAAGGTGGTGTCCCTGAAATAACGTCAGCACCGTAAAAACACGCCTCCAGCCCGAGAAAGCTGTGCGGGTCAGTGGTTCAAAGACGCGCGACCCTCTCTGAGGCTTAACCTGGGCATTCGTGAGAACCGGCCTGGCTGGCGCCTGTGTGTGCACAGAGCTGCTCAAGTACGTTTCCGGGGGCCTAGAGAGTGCTCCAGGGTGCAGGGTGCTGTCGAGGCTCAGCGATGCCCAGCACAGAGTTGTTCCCCTGCCTGCCCAGAAGTGGACTTCTCTTGATGAGGGGAAGGAAGACTTAAAAGTCTTGGTCAGCTTTCTCTCCCGGGCTCCATCCCTCTGGGGTGGTGGGTGGGAAGGGAGCACTATAGATTCAGGTTTCCATTCAGCATCGCCATGGGCAGCAGTCACCATGGCAACCAGTGTCCCTACTGATGAACCCCCTGCGCCCGCTGTCCCCCGCCCCCAGGCCCAGCGAAGCTGAAGATGCTACCTATGGCGACGAGGAGGCTGCCGTCCTGGAGACCGCCCAGGTGCAAATCGGACTCAGGTGAGAGGTTGGGCGTGGACAGCAGGCGGTCCTGGGCCCGCCTGCACCGCTTTTCCCTCACCTCATCAACATCTCCTCTGACAGATATGATGCAAAACGGTCGAGCTTCATGGTGATTCTAGCACAGCTCCGAAATCTTCATGCCTTCTTGATACCTCACACTTCAAAAGTGTAAGTAAAATCAGGCGTACGTGGTCATTTTACACCGTCGCCAGGCAGTTCACTCAGTTAATCGGCAGGGCCGACCGTGTCTTGGCCAGCATAAAGACCGAGAGGAAGGGAGACTGGGAGAAAGGCAAATTGGGTTATTCTGCCGACTCGTTCTTGAGAACAAGAACCAAGACGCATCACCCTTTTCAGCCAGAAATTCGGTCGTGTGCTGTATTGGAACCTGACTTTATTTTAAAATGTAATTTTGATTTTCGTAACGGCCTAATGGTGACTTCTGCCCGGTTGGAGGAATCCCCTGACCTGGTATTTCACCCGTCAGCCCAACCGTGAGGTCCCACGGCAGCGGGGGAGAAGCGCCTACCCTGTGGCTTTGATTCTTAATCTGCAAACATTCAGAGTAAGACTGAAGTCAGGGGAGGCAGGAACGCCTCCGTCCTTCCCAGAGCGCCCAGAAGCTCCCCTCTGTTGCTTTTTCATGAAGAGAGAGAAGATTCCGCGTGCTGAGTCTTCAGTCCACGAGCCTTCTCAAGCTGCGTCTTCACAGTTCGTGTTGACGTAAAATACCAGAGTTGCGTGACACGCTCCATTCGGCAGTTGAATGGGCAGTTTTCAATCCTTGGAGCCGAGCACAGCTGGGGACAGGGTGTCGGGGGTGCTCTCTTTCTGGGGTCTAAAGAAAAGGCCTTCCGCTGTTGCCAAGAATTTTGAGTGCTGAGAAAACTCACTTGAAAAGTAGTTTCTCAGGTTCCTATTTTTCTATTAACTCTTCGGTGAGTTTTCCAAAGCACAAGGCTCCTAAGACACATGCCAGAGCCGCTGGGCTGTGGCACTCTGGAGCTGTTCCTCACCCTCTGGTGTAAAGTTTCACAACACGATGCTGCTTGGCTTTTCTCCCCCTCCAGTAGGATGAGGTACCCACTCCTGGGACCTGCGCGTCGGGGTCTCTCGTCCCATGTTCAGGATGAGCACTCTTGGGGACGCGTGGGCCGTACCCACTCAGTGCTCCTCCCTGCCCTGGCTTGGAAACCGCCAGGACGGGCCCCGGTGTCCCGAGACAGGTGCAGGGTTGAGTTCGCCTTCCCCGTGGCCGCCCCCCTCGCCACTGTCCTCTCACACACCTCTGCTGCCCCCGCCCGTGCTGAGTGGCAGCTTGGGCCCCAGCGTGCCCAGGGTGCCGTCCGCAGGTGGGCTCCGGCCACAGCCTCTGCCCCGCCAGGCGCAGAGATGCCACAGGGTGTAGGCGGCCGATGAGCCCCCTCACTCCACGAGTCTCGCTGTTGCTCATAACTTCCAACCCCCTGTGAGTCCAGGGTCACTAGTGTCCGTCCGAAATGCATTTTATCTTGTGTGTGCTTTGCAGATATTTCAGGGTCGCTCTGCTTCCCTCTTCAACCGATGTCAGCTGCCTGTTTCGAACTAAAGTCCATCCAGCCACAGAAGCCATTTTATTCAATGATGTGTTCCGAGCCGCCATTTCCCAAACAGCCCTGCAGCAGAAGACCCTGAGAGTGGACCTGTGTTCTGTCAGTAAGCACCGAAGAGAGGAGTGCCTGGTAGGCTTCTTCGTGGTCGTGTCCAGCGGCTCTTGCGTGGATGCGCTGAGAATAACTGGTTGGGCTGCAGTCTGCCAGCCCCGGTGCCACTACAGTCTCCCCAAAGCCTCGGGTGCATCCAGTGGGCGCCGTTCTTTATTTTATTGAAGTAGTGATTTCTGGTGTTCATTCCCTTATTCCCGACCTTTGAAATCTCCTGCTTAGTTTTGGTTTTCTGTTAAATTTATTTTCCATCTCTACCCTTTGGTCAAAGAAGAACTTGGACCTCTGGTGTAGCTGTCACTGGGATTTCATTTGTCATCCCCAGCCTGAGTCTTGGGCTCACTGTTTTGTTCATGTTGTTCCACTTAGCACTTAGCCCCATGGCAGTCTTAATGAGACGGGCAGGATTGTCCACTGTTTTCAGATAAAGAACTATTGAGAGACTTCATGGGTCTGGAGCCCCACAGATTAATGAATTGTGGAACCAGGTATCAAAGGCTGCCATACATAATTCACTGCCCATTGACGCTAAGCAAGATAGTGAGTATCGTCCCTACGGCCCACTCATTCTTCCCAGCCCCGCTTGGAAGACATAAGTGTAGCTCTGACGATATTTAAACGCCGGAGAGCAGAACTTCACAGTGAGTCTAACACGCCTCCACGCTCAGTGACCAGAGAGCCACCGGTCTACGGCGTCCGAATGCAGCACGCGCCGGGGCGTGAGCCCCAGGTGGGGCCTCCGTGTGGTCCCCAGCAGCGTGAGACAGCACAGTCACCCGAGTGCAGCTGAAAAGAGCCGTTGATTTCTTACAAAGTTTTCTTTTTCTTCATATGAAAACACGCTGGGGAATATTGTCCAACAATAGAGGGAGAGGCGCAGAGGCCGCGGGCTGGCGGGGGGGCGGGGAAGGGCGCTGAAGTCAGGAAATCTCTCCTGGGAAGCCTGCAGAGACGAGCCAGCTTCATCTAGATCCTGGCTGAAACGCCATGTAGCGGAATGGGAAGGTCTTGGACTTTGTTGACATCCTACTAACTTATCCAAAGAAAAATATTACTCTCTGGTTCATTAAGAACCAGAGTGGAGATTTTTGTTTGTTTAAAAATTTTTAGGGAAAAATGGTTTTTTTTTAATTTTGTGAGTAGTCCTCACTCTTAGGTGTGTTACAAGAAATGTTATGGTTTATGCTTATTACTCATTCATATTTTTATTTTTTGACTTTCCACCTAAAAGCAAGACCCCACACTTAGAAAACACCGTGCCCCCAGGTCACTGGCAAAATAGTGTCTGACAGAGTCACCCCAGGGCTGGCTTTTCCATTGGGGAGTGTTTCTCATGTTTCAGAAACTCAAGACATCGCCAGGTTTTGTAAAAAATCCACCAATGCTTGTACTGTGAGTGTTGTGTTGTTTTTGGCCAAAAGCAGCTTGCACAATTTTCTTGATTATGTCAGAGGGAGCAAATGCGAATCTCAAGCTTTCCTATTCTCTTCCCCTTTGCCCCTTTTCTTTCGCTGCACACAGGCCGGGACCCAGATCAGCCTGGCAGGCTTGCCGTTTTCCAGTGAAGCTTTCACTCTCTGGTACAACCTGCTTCCTTCCAAGCAAATGCCAGGTACGAAGGCTGAGGACGACAGCGAAGACGCCGCCTTCCCACCCGGCCAGCCGCTGGTCGAGTCCATAGACCTGGTGAGTCGAAACGAGAGAAAAGTCGTTAAAAGGAATCGAATGAGTCGAAAGTGCAGTGACACCTCTGGGCTGTCTCTCACGCTCCGTCGTTACTCTCCTCCCGGCTTCCTAGCAGAAGCGAAGGTCTTTGGCTTCGCTCGTCTCCGCTCACTCTTCCTTCCGTGAAAATAAACTGACGCGGACGCTTCTTTGACCCCAGTGGCCATGAGACCTGATTTTAACCTTTAAAGTTGCATCCACTGTGTTCCCGTCTTGATCCCATCGCAGGCCTCACGTTGGAGGTCCGTCCACAGATGTGAAACCATTGAGACCCCAGTGCCGTCGTTTTCCATCTGTCACACCAACACCCGTAAATGTTTTCTAGTAAAAAGCTCATTTCAACCAGTCGTCGTCTTCGGCTCTGACAGCAGTTGTCTAGAGGGTGTTTGGGGAGCCCTTCCCCAGTGATGTGGCCTCTGAGGCGGTGAGTGACTCAGGCTCAGTTGAGGTGAATATGAGGAAAGTGCTCACGAAGCAAAAGCCAGAAGAATTAGCAGCAGAGGCTTGTGGTCGCCCGCGAGGCGCGGGAAGCTGTTGCGGACGTCAGGCAGGGGTGAGAGGTACACAGGCGTGTTGGCAAAGCTCCCGTGACACGGCCAGCTCCCAGTTGCCACCAAGGAAGCCATCCGTGAGGGCAAATATGGTTTCTGCCTCTAAGTTTGTTTGTATAATGGTCGTACTCGGCTTTTTCTTGTTTAATAAAGATTTTATTTATTTATTTATGCACACAGAACTGGGGTACAGGCCAGAGGCACAGGGGCAGCAAGAGGATTCATCAGAGGCAGCGGGGAGCAGAACAGGCAGATCGACAAACTACACTGCACAGGGAGCCCGCTGTACAGGGAGCAGCGGGCGGTCAGGAGAGGGCTGCCGCGCCCTGTGGGTCAGCTCCAGGGCGGGGATCGAACTCGCACTGAGGCCGCCACAGCTTGGCTCAGCTTCCCAGTGCAGCGCTCCAACCCTCTGCGCCAGCAGGGAGGGCCCTGTACTCTGCCTTTTTTTTTTTTTAATATAATAGTTTATTTTTATATCATTTTGTGCCTTTTTCCATCCCAGTTGTAATACCCGTGGGCATCCCATCACCAAATCGCCATACTCTGCTTTTTAATAGCTTTATTGCCGTAAAATTCACATACCATACGTTTTGCCCACTTGAAACCCAGTTTGCATTTGAATTACTCTGCTTGAAATACGGTCTTGAGCATACTCACAGAGCTTTGTCTGTGGTCTTTGTTACCCCAATCTGACTATGTTGTCATCACCCCCAGAAGAAACCCTATATCCACCAGCAGTCATGCCCTTTCTCCCCAACAATCGCTAATCTTTTTGTATTTAAAAAATTGCTTATTATGGACATTTCGTGTAAATGGAATGACACACACAGCAGCTGTTCTTCTGCGACCAGGGTCTCTCCCTGAGCACAATCTTGTCGAAGCGTGTCCGTATTGTAGCACGTGTTAATCCCTCATTCCCAAGTAAAATATCCCGTGGTGTGGCTATACCATGTTGTTTATCTGCTACCAGCTGATGGGCATTTGGGCCAGTTTTTCTTTTTGACTGCTGTTGACATGTTGCTCCGAACATACAAGAGTTTGAGTGGATGACATACGTTTCTGATTCCCTTGGGAACACGCCGAGGAGCAGAATTGCTAGGCCATGCAGTAACTGTGTTTACCGTTTTGGGAAATTGCCAGATTG